GTGTGGAGATTTTTGGTGCTTTGTATAATAAATATCAGCACATTTAGAAAAAAATTGTGGGCTTACGTGCCTGAGGTGGGAAAAAAAGCTATAGCTAAGTCTGATTTACTAGAAGAAAACATCCAAAACTGTTGAAACACTAGATAAAAAACTGATCTTGAAATGTCAGGAATCAGTGAGGATAACAGAACTGTCAATTTTGTCCTATTAAAACGCCCTTTTATTTTGCCTCCTTTTCTCTTTTATTTCTAATAACAGCCCATTAAAACTGCTGCACTCACGATTTGCTGGTATTTGCTGTTCTATTTTAATACTATCTATTAGTTCTTCCCTCCTTTCCTTTTAATATTTACACATATCATCAAATACTGGGCAAAATTTCTCTGCTTAAAAAAAAAAATCCCATGAGTGGAAACCAATTACACATAACTTGTTACTGAGGGCATGGCTGGGCTTTCTGTGCAGCTCCAGAGTCCCATTGAGTTTAAGGTAGCTGAGGACACTTTTATATTAGAAACAGTCTGTGCTAATATAATTGGATGCATTGTTATTTCTTAACTTCATCTAAAAATAACACATCGAAATCAGCTGGACTGAGAAAAAAATCAGCTTCTGTTCCATGGGTTAATAAATAACTGATAATGAAGTGACTGAGAAAAATCATGGCCAGGAGCATCAGTTTGACATAAGAAGATTCTCCAGCCTGAAGGATTCCAGCTAGAAAAGCACAGTTTAAAAGTCTTACATTTCCTCCATTTCATGTGTATTCACCAGTGCTTATGCAGTCCAAATAATCTGTGCCTGTGCTTATGTGTGTCAAATACCAGAAGGGCATGGGGAAAAGGAGCAGCCAGTAACACCTGAAGGCACCTCAGGGACACCTGAGCCTTGGCCTGAGCTCTCACACTCCAAATATGACCCTCCAGGAGCCAGTGAAACCTCTGCATTGACCTGAGGGGGACAGGACAACCCTCTGCATCCAATTTGGATCCCCCTGAAGGGAGGCTGAACTGTTGATACAACAGCGAGAGAGGTTGTGGTCCATAAAACACCACTGGGATGATACCATATAGATTCAACAGAAATATTTTCTTCCAAAGAAGATCTATAGGTAAATTCCATCTGATGCTTTTATTTCTCTGTCCGTGTCTGATAAAGGAATTAAGGAACAGAGAGGGAAAAAGAAAAGTGAAGCCTCATAAACTGCTTCACTAACTGCTACTCAGAGAAGATTCTCTATTCTGATTTTCCTCTATCAACATATTCAAAAATGCTAAAATTTCTTCTTGAATAATTTATAATATACAAACCCAAGAATATTTGAGAAATTCCCTAAAAAAGCACCAGGAGGGGAACCTCAATATTGAATATATTTATCTGAAGACACCAGACAAATAGAAATCTCTTGGAGACAAGAAAAGGGGTCACCAGACCAGTGAAGGAATTTTAAGCCCAGACTAATGGCACGGTGAGGTGTCTGCCTCGTGCAGCCTCTGCAGCTGGGAGTGTTTCTGCCCAGGACCACTCTCTGTGTGCTGGAGAGTTCCAGCACTGTATTTCCCACAGCCCAGAGCTCCGGCCTTCCCTCCTAATTCCAGGATTTCCGTGTTACTCTGTTGGGGCCCCCAAAGGCAGGATGCCCCGTGGGAAGCTCTCCCTGAGCCGTGGGCCGTGCCCTGCACCCCGGCAGGGGCACAGGAGGCATCTCTCCCCGGAGCACCGGCTGGCAGCTCTCCCAGCCCAGTGCATGTGGGTTTTGCGTCACGGATTAATCACATCCCGGCCCTGCTCCCCCTCCCACACTTGGGTTCCCACATGTTCTCCTGCCCCAGTAATAGGCAGCTGGAGGCGATTCCCTTCCCCAGGGAGCTGGGGGTGAGTGCCCAGCGGGAGCTGGGTTTGCCGGGGCTTTTAGGCAGGAATGCAGCTGGAACCCAGGCACTGGCTGTGTATAAACCCTTTCCACACTCGGATCCAGAACCTCTAAACCATTCCCTAGCTCTAAGAAAACCGAGAGAGCTGGGAAGCAGCTCCCATCTATAATAATTACAAGAGAGTTTCCCTTGCCCTTGCACTGTTTATTGCTTTTGCCCTTGCTGTAGATTGCTGGAGACACAGAGACTATTAAAGCTTGGCATATTTCTTTCTGGACAGGCAGAGCAAGCTTTGGAAGAAAACTCCCTCTTTCTCTCCACCATTGCCACTTCTGTTGGAGAGGGAAGGGGCTGGTTCACACTGCAGGCTAACTGGAGCATTGAATGCCTGCTGTGCAAGGACTGCAGTGGGGGGAACGTTCGCCCCCAGTGGAAAGGGAATGCTGTGAGGATATTTCAGAAAAGTACAGTGACTGCTCAACTATCCTTTTCTAAGTTGTGTCTCTCTATTTTCACAAGGCTGTCAGGGAGGAAAGGTGCATTTCAGTCATGACGACTGAGGCTGGGAAGAGGCAGCTGAAGGGCACCTGCCAGCTCCTGCCCTGCTGAGATGCAGCTCTGCCGACTCCACAGCTCCAGGATGGGGTTTTGCAAGGAAATAGCTCGCTTGCCAATAATAATAATTATCATTAATAACCGAGTGACGTCCTAGTCTTGGTTACATCAGCTGTAGCCTTCTCTGGAGCTGCTGCCAATCTCACTCGCACCGGTCCTGTTCTCAGCAGGGTGTGTGGAGCAGCGACAGAAGGGCCGTGAGCTGCTGTGGCTGGAGGGAGATGCAGGGCATGGCCCGCGGTGACTTCTGTCTCCTGGCTGCGGGGACAAGAGGACACGGCCTGGACAAACCCTGTGAGAGCCGCCTCTGCGGCCAGCGGAGACTTCTCACCCCGCTGGAAAACTGCGGGGACGGAAAGGATGGAGCGGGAGGTGCGGAGCGATCCCCCTCCTCCGCCGGGGCATCCCGCGGGGCTGCCCCGAGTTACAGCCGGCCGGGGGCGAGGGCAGGGGCGGCACAGGGGTGTCCGTGGGCCCGGAACCGGCCCTGCCTGCGGGCGGAGGACCCGGCGGGATGTCCGTCCCTCCCCGCGGAGCCCCGCAGCGCTCGCTGATCTGCATTCCAGGGGCATCCCCCCTTTCCCAGCCCCCCTCTCCCTCCCCTCTTCCAGCCCCTTCGCACAACCCGACGGCAGGAGCCCTGGCAAGGATAACGAGCGATATTCGGTGGTATTTGGGAAAGTATAGGTCGGGGCTCCCCGTCCTATACTCCAGCCCTCCCCAACGACCAGCACCCATGGGGAAGGGGGTCTGCCCCCCAAACACAGCGAGGTGCGGCGGGGAGCGCCCAGAGGTCGTTCTTCTGAGGTGCTGCCAAAGCCGCTGTGCGATCTTGTTAAAAGAACAAACTGTTGTGATTTCCCCTCTCGCCCTTCCTGTCCGCCTTCCCCCCCCATCCCCAAAGGGGGGTGTCAGCGCACGGCGCCTGCCGGTCCCCCATGTCGCTCCCGCGTCAGAAAATGAATGATGCAGCAATTTAATTAGGAGGGAGCGGTGCATCCATATTGCACCGGTGCAGGAGAGCTCGGGAGCCGCGGGAAAATGGTTCGTGTCCGCGGGCGCGGACGCTGCGCCCCTGCCCGCGCAGAGCAGCCCCGGGGCGGCGGGACCCCGCGGGTCCCCCGGGACCTCCCGCCCGCACCAGCAGCTTTGCCCCTCAACTTTTTGCTACCGAGCCGCGGTTCCAGTTAAGTCTCCTCCCGGCCGGGTCACCCCGGGGGGCGGGAGGGGAATTTGGGTTCAAGGCGGCAGCCGGGAATGGCGAGGGGTGCGGGATGCCCCGGGAGTTCCGCGGCTCCCGCTGTGCGCGGAGATGAGCGCAGATGTGTGCGCGGGGATGGGCGGGGATGCGTGTGCGTGTGCAGGGGTGCGCAGGGGTGTGCGCGGGTGCGGACAGCGGGGACGCGCGGAGCACCGCGGGGGTCGCCTCCTGCCCTGCCCGCAGCCCTTCCCTCCCGCCCGGGTGCGACCCAGGGGGGACCCACAGCCCCCCGTCCGCGACCCCCATCCACCTCCAGGCGCATCTCACCCACCAACTTTGACCCGCGGGAGAACCCGCGCAAAGCTCCCGCTGCGCCCCCTGCGCGGACCCTGCGCCCCCCGCGCAGCCCCGTTACCTGCCGGCGGCTCCCGGGCCGGGCGGGCACCGCTCCGTCCTCCGCGGGCGCGGCCCCTCCGCCCCCGCGCACACCCCGCGCCGGGCGGGAGGATGCGGGAGGTGCCGGGTGTCTCCCCCGAGGGGTTTGGCTTTGCGGGAAGCGGCTGGATCGTGGCGAGGCTGCGGGGCGGGAGCGGCCCCGGGACGGAAGGAAAGGCAGCAGGACAGGACCGAGAGGAGGATGAGCTGGCGGCAGGGAGAGCGGGGCGGCCGGACCGGGACCCCCGGGCTGCTCCCCGCCGCAGCCCTCCGCTGGCACTCGTAGTCAGAGCAGCTTTGATTTCCTCCAGACTTAGGCGCTTTTTTTTTTCCTTTTTTTTCCTCCTGTATTTTTTTTTTTTTTTAGGAAGGGGGGGTGCAAATTCTGCCCCATCCCAGCGTCTTTTTCCTCTCTGATTCTTCTTAGGCTTTTCCCTCCCCCATCTGCTCGTTTCCCACTTCCCTTCCTCTCCGCCAACCACCAGCCCCCTCCTTCTCTCTTTAAAAAAAAAAAAAAAAAAAAAAAAAAAAAAAAAAAAAAGGAAAAAGGCAAGGAAAAAAAAAAAAACCACCCAAAAAAACTGTATAGTCAGGGCTTCCCAAATGCGCGCCCCCGACCTGGAGCCAAGCGCGCCCCCTTCATTTGTTCCCCTTCTTGAAGCTCATTTTCATGACGTGGAAAAGCCTGATCCAGGGCAACAACAGCACCACACACACACACACACACCCGCCCCGCACACACCGCACACACACACCCGCACACGGGGAGGGAGCGCAGCCCGCGCTCCGCCGCGCCCCAGCCTCCCGCTCCGCGCTGCCGCTGCCCGGAGAAGGCGGCGGTGGCGGCGCTGGAGCCTGCAGCAGCCCCTCTCCTCCCTCCTCCATTGAGTGTGCCAAACAGCAGCTCTGCATCCTAAAGAAGATCATTGAGGGGCTCATTGCATTCCCAGCACGTTTCAGGCTTGCTTCTTTTTTTTTTTTTCCTGCCTTTTTTTTTTTTTTCCTTTTGCCTCAGCTTCAGCAGGAGTAGAGAGAGAGGGAGAGAGAGCCACAGAGAGGGAGAGGCAGAGAGAAACCAGCAATCTTTAAACTCGAGCTTTTTTTTCCCCCCCTTTCCCTCTTTTGCTTTTTTTCTATTGTAACGATGTGCTAAAATCTCTCCTGCAAACCGGTAAGTACAACCTTTCTGGATCCTTTTGTTTCCGCCTAGGGTCAAAGACACCCCCCTCTTCCAAAAAGAAGATATAATAATCCTCTTTATTTATTTTTTTATTTTTATTACAGCCCTTGCAGAAGAGAAAGAACTTAATATTTTGCAAAGGAGACAGAGAGACTGATACTGCAATATAGCTCTCATCTCTCTCCCTTCTCCCCAATTAGATGCTGGTTTTAATTGCAGAGGGTATTTCTCTTTTCGTGCTTTCAACCGTCTCCTCTTTCCCACAGGGGAGGGTTTCATTTGCAAGTTGATCCTAAGGATTTCTGTTCCTCTGGCATTTCTCTCCCCTAAATGCATCTTTCTGCTCTTAAGTTTGTGGATGGGGGGCAAATTTTTCTAGTTCTTGCACGAGGAAGGCAAAAAGGACCTTTTCTATTGAGAGATTAAGACTAAAAGCAACGATCGCTCGGAATGATTCTAATGGGCATTTCAGGGATTCAAGGAAGGCTGCATCACCACCGTTATTATTACCATCCTTAGCGTTCCTCTGTGCCCATACATTTAAAATATCTGGTGAAAGGAAGGGTGAAACCATATGTTGAAGGAGCTGCATCTCATTAGTGCAGCATTATTTTCATCCGATTGGAGAAGAATGGTGTCTTCATTCGGGAACGTATATAGTAGGATAGCAAATTTATCGGCTGGTAAGTGTCAAGGTATTTTTTTTTTCTTCCACTTTCAGCTTTTTAACCGGGTCTCCTGCTTGGTCCTGGGGGCACAAAATGCCCTAATCCAAGGCAGGCTGAGCGTTTCAATCCTAGGTGCCTCTTTAGCTGTCACTTCCCTTTAGATCTGCTGATCGCATGGGCATGTGCTTTAGAAAGATTAATCATCTCTAAACGCTTTAATCAGCTAAAATGACTAATATGTGGTGTGTATTTATCTGATAATATACCAGTTGCATTAATTCACCGGCGCATTTGCGAGGGGAAGCTTCCCTTTCGAATCAGGGCTGTTAACCATTTACTCTGGTAAAGATACTGTGGGGATTTCTGAGGGGATCCGTTCTGCCAGGGACATCAGCAAACCCTGCACACTCCTCTGAACTTACGTGTGGAATATATTGAGCCAGGAGGGAGAGGGGTTCGAGGGTTGAGGCTCAGTAACTTTGGGAGTTTGCATGGATGAAGGATGGAGTGCGACACCAGAGAAATCTGCCCACTGGTGTTTTCCCCCCCCGTAGCCAATGCGGGCTGTGATGGCTACAAAGCACCCGAGTGTGAGATCTGTGGAGTTCCAAACGCTGGTCCTACGGTGGAAATCATGTAGAGATGCAACACGTCCATCCCGTGTGTGCTCGTGTTGCTGTGTGGGGCTGCATGTGCCGTCCTCTTTATAGGTGGCATTTACCACGGGGAGGGGGAGAAGGGAGGCTGCTATCGCGTGATGGAACCGTCTACCATCTCTTAAGTATAAATCAGGGCAAGGCTCGCCCATCCCACACCCCTGGAGTTGGTTGTGAACGTCTGCCCAACAATTGCTGAACTTTCCAAGAGCCTAACACGAGTCTGGCAGGTAGGGGCTTAAACAGAAGGAGCGGGGCAGAAGTACTGAAATCTGCATTTTTCTTCCCGTTGCAGTTTTGTAAACACCAACAAATGATGAAACCTTCCATGGCAGAGACACTTCATAAAGGAAGGATGTTGTGGATAATTCTTCTAAGCACAATTGCTCTAGCATGGACTACACCTATCCCCTTGATAGAGGACTCGGAGGAACTGGATGAGCCCTGCTTTGATCCATGTTACTGTGAAGTGAAGGAGAGCCTTTTCCATATACATTGTGACAACAAAGGATTTATAAATATTAGTCAGATAACAGAGTCGTGGTCGAGACCTTTTAAACTTTATCTGCAGAGGAATTCCATGAGGAAATTGTACACCAACAGTTTTCTTCACTTGAACAATGCTGTGTCTATTAACCTTGGGAACAATGCACTGCAGGACATTCAGACGGGGGCTTTTAATGGGCTCCGAGTTCTGAAGAGGTTGTATTTGCACGAAAACAAATTGGACATTTTCAGGAACGACACTTTCCTGGGTTTGGAAAGTCTGGAATATCTGCAGGCAGATTACAATGTCATTAAACGGATTGAAAGCGGGGCATTTCGAAACCTAAGTAAATTGAGGGTCCTTATCCTAAATGACAATCTCATCCCCATGCTTCCCACCAATTTATTTAAGTCCGTGTCCTTAACCCACTTGGACTTGCGCGGGAACCGGCTAAAAGTCCTTTCGTACCGCGGGATGTTGGACCATATTGGCAGGAGCCTGATGGAGATCCAGCTGGAGGAGAACCCGTGGAACTGTACGTGTGAGATCGTGCAGCTGAAGAGCTGGTTGGAGCGCATCCCCTACACTGCTCTGGTGGGGGACATCACCTGCGAGACCCCCTTCCACTTCCACGGGAAGGACCTGAGGGAGATCAAGAGAAGCAAGCTGTGTCCCATGCTGTCCGACTCCGAGGTGGAAGCCAGCCTGGGCATCCCTCAGCTGTCGTCCAGCAAGGAGAACGCGTGGCCTACGAAGCCTTCCTCCATGCTGTCCTCCTTCCATTTCACCGCCTCCTCTGTTGAGTACAAAACGTCCAACAAGCAGCCCAAGCCCACCAAGCAGCCCAGGGCGCCCCGGCCTCCCCCAACCCCCCGCGGCCTGTACCCCGGGCCCAACCAACCCCCCGTGGCTGCCTACCAGACCCGGCCCCCCATCCCCATCATCTGCCCCACCGGCTGCTCTTGTAGTTTGCACATCAACGACCTGGGCCTGACGGTCAACTGCAAGGAGCGAGGGTTCCACAACATCTCCGAGCTCCTGCCCAGGCCCTTGAACGCCAAGAAGTTGTACCTGAGCGGGAATTTGATCCAGAAAATCTACCGCTCCGATTTCTGGAATTTTTCCTCCTTGGATCTCTTACACCTGGGGAACAACCGGATCTCCTACGTGCAGGACGGGGCGTTCATCAACCTGCCCAACCTCAAGAGCCTGTACCTGAACGGGAACGACATCGAGCGGCTCACCCCGGGCATGTTCCGGGGCCTGCAGAGTTTGCATTACCTGTACTTCGAGTACAACCTGATCAGGGAAATCCAGCCGGCGGCCTTCAGCCTCATGCCCAACCTGAAGCTCCTCTTCCTCAACGACAACCTGCTCCGCACGCTGCCCACCGACGCCTTCGCCGGCACCTCCCTGGCGCGCCTCAACCTGCGCAACAACCACTTCCTGGCGCTACCGGTGGCCGGGGTGCTGGAGCACCTGCACGCCATCGTGCAGATCGACCTGAAGCTCAACCCCTGGGACTGCACCTGCGAGCTGGTGCCGCTCAAGCAGTGGCTGGAGGCGCTCAGCTCGGTCAGCGTGGTGGGCGAGGTGCTGTGCGCCAGCCCCGAGCCGCTGGCCCGCCGCGACCTGCGCTCCCTGGAGCTGGCCGCGCTGTGCCCCGCCGCCCTGCGCCCCGCCGCCGCCGCCGCCTCGCCCCCCGCCGCCCCTCCGCCGCCCGCGGCCACCGGCGCGGCCGCCTACGAGCTGCCCCCGGCCGCGGCCGCCGCCGCCGTGCCGCTGTCCGTGCTCATCCTCAGCCTGCTCGTCCTCTTCTTCTCCGCCGTGCTGGTGGCCGCCGGGCTCTTCGCCTTCGTGCTGCGGCGCCGCCGGAGGAAGCTGCCGTTCCGCGGCCCGCGGGCGGAGGCGGCGGACCTGGGCGCGGTGCCGCTGCGCTGCCCGAGGCTCTTTCCCGAGGGCGGCGGCGGCGGCGGCGGCGGCGGCGGCGGCGGGGGGGGCACCGGCGAGCGGTCCCCGGAGAAGGCGCCCCCGGCGGGCCACGTCTACGACTACATCCCGCACCCGGTGACCCAGATGTGCAACAACCCCATCTACAAGCCGCGGGAGGAGGAGGAGGCGGCGGGCGGCGGCGGCGGTGGAGGTGGAGGTGGAGGGGAGGTGGCCGAGCTGCTGCGGGGCGGCGGCGAGCGCGGCTTCGCCCACCCCGCCGCCCCCGCCGCCGCGCCGGAGCCCGGCAGCTGCTACCGCACCTTGCTGGAGAAGGAGCAGGAGTGGAGCCTGGCCGTGTCCAGCTCGCAGCTCAACACCATCGTGGCCGTGCACCCCCAGCACCCCGCGGGCGGAGGGCTGGCGGCGGGCGCGCTCGGGGCGGCGGCGGCGGCGGCGGGGGGAGCCCCGCGGGACCGCGACCGCCCGCCGCCCTGCGCCGTGGGCTTCGTGGACTGCCTGTACGGCACCGTGCCCAAGCTGAAGGAACTGCACGTCCACCCCCCCGGCATGCAATACCCGGACCTGCAGCAGGACGCCAGGCTGAAGGAGACGCTCCTCTTCGCGGCCGGCAAGGGCTTCCCGGACCACCAAACCCCCACAAGCGAATACCTCGAGTTAAGGGCCAAACTCCAAACCAAGCCGGATTACCTCGAAGTCCTGGAGAAGACCACGTACCGGTTCTGACCGCCGCCCCGCCGCCCGCCCGACCCCGCCGCCCGCGGGCAGAGGATACAGCTGTGCGCTCTGCCCCGCCAGATGTGCGCGCTGCGGGGCAGGGCCCTTCTCAGATCAGTAATCGACGAAGTGCCTTCGCAGACTTTTGCCAGCAGATGTTAATCAATCATTATTTTTTATACTGAAACTGAGACTTTGACTGTGCCATGTCATAAAGGTATATTATTATTATTATTATATTATTATTATGGGGGATCTTTGTATTGATCCTGATTAAGTAAATTCTATGTGTGTGTCTCTCTCTCTTTTTTCTTTTCCTTTATCGTTCTTCTTTTATTTTCTTTATTCTTGTCGTTTGTTTTGTTTGTTGGCTTTTTCTTTTTTTTTTTTTTTACTTTTTTTTTCTCCGTTGCGAGTAAACTTCCTTGATATTTTCCCTTGGAGGGGTGGGGGAGGGAAGATGGCATTTTGTGGCTTGCTTTCTTCTTGCCCATCATGGCACAGATTCTGTACATTTATTTAAAAGAAAAAAAAAATGCAAAGAAGCAAACGAGCGCAGTTTGCTGCATGCCTGGAAACTGCAAGAGGGAAGGGAGGGGAGGGTCTTGCTCGAATGTCTCACTCTTGTCTCTCTCCCTCCCTCGCACGCACACTCACCCTCACCCTCCCCGCACCTCCCCGCCAGCCCAGCCCCCCGGCGCAGGGCGGCAGCGGGGCCCGGGGGCCGCGGGGGGAATCCCGTGGGCTGGGGGAAATCCCCCCTCCCCGGAGCCGAGCAGCCCAAAGGATGTCACCACGTGGCGCACACACCTAGGGGATGCTCAGTGACACTTCATCATGACGCCATGGTTTTTTGGAGGACATCCGCACTTTCCTAATAAAAGCAACATGCAAATATACAGAAAAAGGGAAAAAAAAAAAGAAGCTACTGGGCACCTCTCACTAACAGCTTTGTAGGAAGCACTTTTAATGTTTTCTCTCATGCACACATACACGCACACAAACACACACACAAAGGTACAACAATGTGCATATATTTATTCTGTAATTTCAAGTGAATATAAATTGTAAAGGTAATGTTTAATCATTGTACAGTGATGCGTCTGGTATAGCTTTCCTAATAAAACGTTTTGAAAAACAATGCATATATATATATATATATATATATACAACCCCAAATATATATATATATATAGGAATACAAAGCTTGAACCTGAAACTTCAGCTTCCCCCACGGAGATTTCCTTCCCTCCCATAACCTTGAACGCTATTTTATTAATAACAGTTCGATGCACTGTGATGTTAACAGAGGAAAAAAAAAACCCTGTACAGCGTCTCTTGCCAAGATACCACCCGAGACTGTCACAAATCCGATTTGCGATCTGTATCCCTGCTGTGCTCTGCTGATAGTTAAAAATACCGGGAAAATTGGGAGCGCATCCCGCCGGAGCGCTGGCTCCCGGCCTGCTGGAGGCACCGAGGCTTCGCTGGGGTGCCCCCGGCGCTCGCAGCCGCAGTCCGTGCGGGGCGAGCAGTCAAAATACGCAGGAGAGGGGGTGAATTAAACCGCATTTCCAGTTTGGAATGGGGTGATGCGATCTGGAAAGGCACCTCTCCCCGCTCCCGCCCCAAGCGGAGCGAGACCAAAGACGATCGGATTTCCCTGCCCCCGGGGGGCAGGTCCCGGTTGGTATCTTGTCCCCGTTGGTGTGTTGTCCGCGTTGTCCCCACCGTGTCCCCGCCGGTGCTGTGTCCCCGCCGGCCCCGGGACGGGCGCGGTGCGCGGCCCCGCGCGGCCGCCAGGTGGCACCGGCGCTCCAGCGCTGGGGCGGGAGCGCGCACGGACCCGCTCCTGGAGCCGCCTCTGGAGCCGCTCCTGCATCCCGACCCCGCTCCCGGTCCGGACCCGCTCCCGACCCCTCTCCTGCCCCCCGCCCGCCCCGCTGAATGTACCCCGGGCGCCTTATACCGGGGCGGGGCACGGCCTGCGCCGCCCCGAAGTTCTTCAAATAGCGATTTTTATACAGAAATCCCCAATCTATCCATAAATATAATTTGTCTGAGCAGCGGTCAGGGTGATGTATCCAGGTGTGTGGAGGTTATTGGTCCGCTGAGCTCCAAAGGTGCTGCCCGGAGCGCTCCTGCCGCTGTCCTGAGGGGAGCGGGATTTGTCACCTCCCCGCCCCAAGGTCACTCTCCCGACCATCCGCCCTCCTCCCTCTGGGGAACAGCTCGGTTTCACCCCGCACAATGTGTTTTAACAGAGATAAACCCATAAATACTTGTTTCCCCCCCCCCCCCCCCCCCCAGTGTTGCTATTTACAGCTCCAACCAGGATGTTCCTTGTAGGCTTTTTGCATTCATCTGTCTTGGAGAGTCATGGTAGTAGCTGTGGGTGTCTGGAGACACAGGGACAGCTCCCAACGTCTGTAAACCCAGCATCACCTCCACTACATCAGTAAAAATGTCACCCATTTGAATTTCTTCTGTTGAGTTGATACCGTGTTTTCTCACAGCTGCCTTCAGCTCTAATCCCTTGGGGTTAGTTCATTCGTTTGCTTTGTTGTTTGTTTTGTTGTTTGTTTTTTTTTTTTTTAAATGGATAATAGAAGAGCATGTACGTGCTAAAGGTGTAAAACATGCAAGTGCAAAGGCCAGATACTCCTCATAATAACTGTAAGAATTACATCCATGAGCCTACATGCAAAGTAATGTGGAGCTGTATAAATCAGGTTAAAGTACAACCCCCAGTGAGAGTGGTGCTGTAAACATTTGGCAATGTCACCAAACCCCCAAGTGTTCATACTTGTATCCAAATAGAGTAAAGCCGGTTGCAAATAATGTTTATATTTTAATTAAACTGCAGAAAGGCAAGAGAATTTCAACATAACTATAGGCAGTAATCTCGCCCATGGACGGTGAGCAGATCTATTTATTCAGTGGAAAATAAATTTGTTCTATGAGAATGGAATTTTGTATTAAAAGAGATAATTTTTGGCTTATGTTGAGTTATTTTTCTTTCCTTGCGTAGGAAACTTCCTTTTCCTTGTGTACTGAGATGATTTGGGGATGAATTGCTCTGGAAGTGTTGACAATATTTAAGGGACAATTCAATCTGGAAGTGCTGACAATGTTTAAAGGGATAATTCGCTTTGGAATTGTTGACAATATTTAAGTGTGATGTCTAAAGGGTGTGTTGATGACTCTTATTTTGCTGTTTCATTGTGTTGAGCTGAGGCTGAGTGGGTGGCAGCAGTGCTTTCCACTGCAGGAAACTAAAATGGATCCATCATCTCTGATCTGTGATAGGTGACTCTTTACCTGGGTTACACCTAATTATTAGGTAGTATTAATGCTAATTATATCATTATCAGCAGTATTCTTGGTAGCATTCATGATACTGGGAAGGAATCAAATAAAGTCAAAGTGATCTGCAGTTACATTAGAGCTGTTTCACGGGATACTATTTTAAATAAATATTTTTTTAGCTTATTTCATTGTTGTACAAGTACCTGGTGTTGGTTTGAGCAGTTCAGCCTGTGAGGGTGCTGGTAGCAAAGTTTTCAGCATGTGTTTGGTCTATTCACTCATTGACTATATTGGAATTCTTCCTACAGGTGGAAAAGAACAGCAAGGCCAGGTAAGTCCCAATCAATAACAGCTGCACACAGGGAAATGGAAAGGATGGTGCTCAATTATTGGTGCTCTTTTTTAGTTTCTGGATATTGTCATTGATGTCACTGTCACACTGTGCCCTGGGTTAAAAAATTTACTTGGAAATTGCTTCATGGATCTCTTGAGTGTATCAACAGTGAGAGAAAGATGTTCATTGTTACAGTATGAATAATAATCTGAATTTTGGGAAGCAATCCAATGTCTGTTGCAGGAAGATAGGACCTGAACTGCTCTGGTTAGATGAGTATTGAGAGTGAGAACCTCATTTGTTATGACATTCAGTGAATATGAGTTAAGCTGTGGTAGCTCAAGGTTTTGTCAGAGGCCTTTCCAGACAAAACCACTTTTGAGTGTGGCTGATTCAGAAATGTGTGTTTTCATTCAACTTATGTTCTCTCTGTGAACTTTTCCAGCAGCAGGAGAAAAAAGGTCTCTACAAAATGTCAATCTGCAGTGCTGCACCTTTCTGGAGAACTCAGGTGTGCCAGCAGCACTTCATGAGCTCTGTGCTGCTTCCACTTGGTTCAAGTACCTCCTTCAGAGGAAGGAGACCTGATGATTTGGGTTTAGGTTGAACAGAAATGTTCATATGAAAAAAAATGGTGTAGAATTTGGCTGTAAGTAGGGGAGTTCATCGCTCAGCTACATCACTCAACCACAGGGTATGACTTTTGGCAGAGCTCCAGCCACTTAGGTGGGAACTTGTTCCAGGCTTGCACTTCTTCCAAAGGCACTTGCTTTTACAATGTGGATTTATGTACACTTGGAAATCAGGCTGCTGTGCACGGCATATTCTTATTTTCTGAGTTTTCCAAGGCCCGATTCTAAATCTGGCTTCCTCATAGCTGGGTTTCACAGTGAATTTATGTAGGGATGGATTTATGAATGGGTTCTACAGTACAACACAGTTGTTCTCCGTGGAAGAAATGGAAATCCACACAATATGGAGTTTCACGGCAGCTTTTTGTACAAAAATTGCTATTTTTTGATGCTGATGTGAGTGGAAAGACATCTCCTTTTTCCAATTCTTGAAATATTGCTGTTTTGATTGGGCAGGTGTAGCTATGCCCCAGTTTGAAACCTGTTTGAGCTAGTGGAAGAATTGGAATGTGCTTGGAACAAACCCTTGAGTGGGTATGGACTGGAGGCCCAATTCTGCTCCCTTGGAGCAAGTGTTGAAACACCACATTATGCTCAGATTTAGTCAACAGACTTGAATGAGGAGCAAAATCTGATCTCAGAAAATTACAGCATATATTAAGTGGATTCAAGTATGTTGAGACAAGTGCTCCCTGTGACTATTTCAGAATAAAATGAGTCATGGTACAGAGAAAATGGGTTTGTATCAATTTAGTAATTTTTCTGATTGACCTCACTCACAAATTAATGCTTTTGATTTTAAAATAAGAATATTTGCATCAAGACAAATTAGTTTAGGCCTAATGTCATTGGTAACCAACTAGCCAAGAAGATTATTAATGTAACAATTGCAAATTGTTTGGAAATACTTTATTAGTATTATCTTTCTCTTTGAAAGCAAGAATATTAACTATACCAACCCAGGCCATTCTATGATTCTGTGATTAACAGGCACTGACAACTGTGTTTCAGAGAATTATTCTTAAAATGTCTTTTCCTTGATCCTTATAGTCTCCCAGTTGTAAAATTATGTAATTCTCATTTTTGTTGAGGTTGTTTGGGGCAGTTTGGGGTGTTCCTGAGGAAAGCATTTGCTTTGCTACACACGGGGTTCCCCCAGGAGGTGAAACTTGTGGGTTATCTTTGATCACTGGGACTGTATCTGGAAACACTCCCCTGTGGTGTCATTTTCTGTTAAATTGGTCAACATTGTGTTTTTCAGAATGGTGTCAGACAGATCATTTTGGGGGAAAAATGACAGGAAAAAGCTCAAAGGAGCAGAGCCACTGGCATTGCTGTAGGAATGCTCTGTCCCACATTCACACTGGGCAGTCTCTGCAGGGTGGATGTTGCATCAACCATTATATTTTTGAATGCTAAGGATGCTCATCTGAAGTGTGGGGTTATTTTTAAGCATCATGAAGATGTACATGATATACTCAGCTGTTGGGTGCCTTAAAAAGAATAGGTACAAATAGAGGGCATAGCACAACATAAAATATGAATAACTCACTCATGTCATACACTGAATCTTTAATGTCCGTTTGCTTTTTCTAACGTCTTTATTTCTCCACCAGAATTTTCTAAATCTCTCAGAGATATCCTGTATATTCTATGAATCCTGAAGAAATATTTTAGGCTAGCCAAGGGTTGAATCTCTCAGTACCTGGGAATTCAAACAAGTGCCACTAGCAGGGGAGGAATATCCTGCCCGTGGCACGTGGCACAGCAATTTGGCACCTTGTTGTAGCGTGGTGCCAGGGAGGGAGGTTCTCTGCAGCAATCAGATTTTCCAGGAGGGATTGAATGATTCCAAACGGGAGCTCCTGAACTGTGATAAATCACTACTGGAATGGAAGAGACCTGAGATGTGCTGCTGCTTCTGATGGCACTGCCATCCCTGATGCTGGTGGTGGCACCTGGCACCGTTGCCAAGGGGGGAATCCTGTCACAGCAACCCTAAAAAAAACCAACCAAACGGCCAAAAAAAAAAAGCAGAGGAAATGTTTGGGAGCCTTTATCCTGCAGGGACCATCTCATCTGAAGTTAATGACTTTCTGCAGATGTTACAGTGGCATTAATATACTGTTATGGGATTTTTATGGAGTTTTTTCTTGCTTTCCTCAGCTTTACTTTGCTTTTCCAGAGACAGTACCTGGTTTACATGTTAAAGAACTGCAGGAATGTGTTTGTTGATACTTTTTCAGACCAAAATTGTTTAAAACTGAGTCTGTCAAAAAAGACTGTCCTAAACTGAGATGAGTTTTCTAGAAAGCTACAAAAACCTTTGGTTTTGTACTTGGTCTCTAAGTTATTTCATATATATATATATAAAATGTCTGTTATTGTATAACCTTTTAACCAAAGTCTGTCACTGAGCTTTGGAGGCTTTGGTTTTGCAAATCAAAGTTAATTAATGGTTTGTTTGCTTTTGGTTGTTTTTTTTTCCTGTGATTTTTTAGTTTGATTTTGTTCCGAGTATGACTGGAGAGAGGGAAACATTGCAAAGTGTGAAAATTCTCACCAAACTATACTTTTTAATAGGACTTTTAAATGTAGTTCTTTTTATTTTCTTCAGAGAATGAAGCAGTTATGCTCAAAAGAGTGCAGGAATTGCCACTCAGTAGAGCTGATATGCATTCACTCTGCCGTGTCCTGAGAGTGCCCAGGACAGTCTGACTCAAAGGGAGGTGTAAGAAATTCCCACTAGTGAGATTCCAGGGTTGGATTTGTCCAGCTAATCTGCTCCACCCTGAGAAATCCAGTCCCTGGGGTGCTGCACCACTGGAGGGACTGGCCCAGTGTGCACAGGGAGCACTTAAAAAAAATCATGTTGTAGCATGTTGGTGAAAAATGAGCTTTTAAAAAGCTGGGTGTTTAAAATTTTGTCTCTGTTTTCTTTAGAAAGCTCATCCAGAGTTTCTCTGGTGCTGTTAAACTGCCCTGCAAGGGCACATCTGATCAGTTGTCCTCAAAGCACTGCCGAAATAGATGTGTAGCTAATGCATTCTTCTTAATTGGAGAGCAATTTCTTGTGGCATCACTTCTGTTATGTTTTCTTGCAGTGACCCAAAACCCCTGGCTGCTTTGGAAAGTGGATAGTATTGGCAAGCAAAGAAATATGGCAAGTAAAGGTATTTTTTAGATCCAGTTTATGTCAGTGTTTCCTTCAAAGAAAGGGCAAATCACAGCTATGGGCTCCTTGTTCTGCAGCCCTGAGGAGGAGTAAAGGCACTGATTAAGGCAAAGAGTCCTCATTTAATCCATGGTTAAATTCTCCCCTTCACTTTTAAACCAATAAAGTAAGAATTGTGGATGTATCTAATTTATATATATATAAATATAAATATATATATAGTTCCTGTCAGCACTGAGGGGCTGTGACACTACAGCCAGGAATGCTGATGGAAGGAATGACAGTGGCATTGCTGGGAGGTGGGTTAAGCTGTGACAGGTGGGAACTGTGCCAAGGCTGACAGTGCCAAGGGCACCTGAAAGCCAAGTGCCTCTTGCTGGGGTGGAGACAGTCAATAACAGCAGGAAAATCTTGTTGAAAACTCTTTAGAGCAGGTAAACAAATATCTCATAAAACCCTAATTTTCCTGCCTTTGGCCCAATTTCTCAACCAGCCTCCAGGTCTTTGGCATTCTCAGCTTTGACCCCTCTGCATGCTCAGACATCCCTTTGGCTGACGACAAGCTCTGCCCCCTCTGTTTGCACATTGCCCACGTGCCCGGAGCGGGGGCCAACTGAAAATGTGGTTCTCTCTGTTGGGTTTTTCTGTAGAGTGGTGTATTGCACCTCAAGACTTCCCTCTGTACCGACTGGATTGCCCACCTGGCCCTCGGCTCTGTAGCAGCCCCCCGAGGTTGGCCCCGGTGGTGTGACGGGCCCCGTGCTCTGCCAGCCCCTCCGAGCCAACCAAAGCCTGTCACAGCCTTCAGAGCACAAATCCCTGGGCAGATGGATCCCTAACAGCTACACTTCAGGGAGAAAGCGGAGATGCTCCTAAAATTAGTTGCTGACAGCTCAAAGGAGGAGTAACTGCCTCCCGTGTCGTTACTTCTTCTGGAACAGGGACGTGTGTTATGGAAATGCTGACACTGGGTTTGTACACTATGTACACATGTGCTGTGTGTGTGTCTAAGTGTGTACCCATGAATGCACTGTTACAGTGTAGGATTGGATTGCTGGAAAGTTCTGGGGGGTTCAGGAGCATGGCTTGCTTTGGACTGTTATTAAAACATGGGCATTTTGGTAACGAAGCTAAAAATAGCCACTTTGCGACCTACATTCCCAATGTAGGTCAGTGGAGGCACTTCTCAGACATATTAGCATTTTGGACACTTAATCTTAGCAGCATATTGCATCTCCTAGAATAGGTTAGTAGAGGCAAGGCAGGAGGAATTGCTGCATCTCGAGTCGTTCCGAAAGGTTGCCAAGTTTCTCAGGAACCAGAGCGGCAGAATAATGAGGATTATATTTAATTTGGGATGGAGAGGCAACCGTGGGGTGTTCAGCAGAGGCAGCTGGGATCATCTTGGCTCTGTGGGGGAGGGAGAATTTATAACTCTAGCTAGCTAAAAAGCAAGCTGTGTGTGCATTTGTGTGTATATATATATATATTTATATATATGTATATACAAATCTGTGTATGTGTATATAGCACCGTGTGTATATATGTATGTATGTATATGCCTAAAATGTATTATATGTGTATCTATAGATATGTATACATTTATATGAATTTATATTTCTCTATATAAATAGTCATGCAACTATGGGAAGTCACAACTCAACGGTGTGTCCTTTTTCTTTAAAACACAACAAAAAGCTGCTTCCATTAATATCATATTGGCACAAGTGTCCTAAGTTTTCTTTTCTCTTTAGAAAGGAGTGGTACTTGTGGCCGAGCACAAGCCTGGAAGGGTTTAACTCTTCCAGAGGGCTCAGAGTAAATCATTATCTGCTCCACAGCCGTTGTACATTCGTGACATAAAGTGGTGGCCAAAATGACTCAGGGCTGGTTTTGTAGGCAAACAAAGTGGGTTGTTGACTGTTTGGAAGTCTCTGTTATGCTCATGGATTTTTGATGGTGAAATGTCTGCACTGATAGTTATTCTGGTTGCTGTTAATGCCCAGCTAATGCTAATTGCTTGAACAGAGGAAAAAAAGATGAATTTTCTGCTCTAAAGTAAGTTATCCAAAGTCTGATTACATTGACTCAGTGATGTATGGATTTCCATTTAGGGGCAGGATGTTGGGCTGTAAATCAAGAATCTCAGCTCAGTGAACATCTAGTTTGGGATGTCTTTTATGTTATAATTGATTTTAAATCATTTCAATTCATCATCAGAACAAGCTATACCTTAATTCATGATAAGCTCAAAGGATCTCTCAGCTGGAAACCCATTCATAGCAGGGTGAATTTTGCACTTGTCTTCGGTGGGGTTGAATCAGGTCAGAGAGTTTCATTCAGCGCTGGCATAAAAACAATCTTGTAGCTGTGCAACTATTAATTCAAATTGTAATTTTGTAATAAAAGCAGCCTAAAAATGACTTACTAGTTATGTATTCTATGGCTATAGCACCTCTCTATCGATGTGATGTGTTGGCATCGGGTTTGATTTTGTGTTGCTGGTCGTTACCCTGAGTTTTGCCCCCACTGGAGCTGGAAGCGGCTCAGCCCTGGAATAACACACCATAATTCTGCAGCTGAAGGGAAAAGCTGCAAAGTAATGATCTCTGTCAGCATTCCTTAAGCTGTCTGCCCGGAATGGTGGCCGATTGCTGAATTGCCACATGTGTTGTGCTGGGATAAATGTAGGTCATGGTAACGTGGATTTGTCAGGAGGATTTGGGCTCCCGAGCGGCAAAGCCCGTTCCCAGCTCCCTCTGCACTCCTGCTGCTGCTGCTGCTGCACAGAAATGTCCCTGGGCCTCCACCAGTGACCAGGCCAGGGCTGCCATGGTCATTAGGGCAGCGTGGATCTGTCAGGCTGCCAATCTGCCATATCCTGCAAACTGTAATGTGATTAGAAAAGGAAAGAGGGAGAATGGATTATTCCTTTCTGAGCCCTTTGCTTCCTTTAAGTCAGAAGACAAACAAACACGGAATATCATGGAAATCAAAACAAATACCCAGTGGCTCGAAACATATGACATTGAGGGAAATATTTCTTCTAAGCTTCTTGATTATGCTTTGCCTTATTATTTCATCTGGAGGAAATAAGCACCTTATGGGAAAGTGCTTCCCAATCTCTTTTGCATAAATGTTACAGTGAAACTCTCTGTGATATATAGCTGCCTGTTCAAGAAATTAGGTCATTTCCATACAAATGTCATATTTCTATGCAGAAAATATGCTGAATTCATATAGTATCTTCTAGCTAAAGCAATCCTTTTGCTGGTTTTGTGATTTCAGCATATTTGCCTGAGTGAAGGCAACCAGAAGAGGAGCAGAAAAAATGATTATTTTTTAATTAACTCATGCAGGCCTAATGTCAGGCTAAGCACTTGAATGCAGTGTCTCTGGGGCACACACAGGAATATCATCCTCAAATGGCTAATTTCTCCTTTTAGCAAGAAGCATCAGGATTTGAGCAGAGTGAATCACAAAGCTCAGAGAGCCACTGCTTTGCTGAGCATCCGGAGACTTTGGGAAATAAGTTTGTCTGATGTCACTTGTTCAAGAAGATGCCTGGATGTCTGTGTCCTCAGGGGAGCAGCCATTGACACAGGAAACCTACAAACTGAAGCCAGGAAAGGAGTGATGAAGTTTGCAAATCTCCTTATGCTCTGTGGCAATCTCTTCCTCGCAGGATGAATTTAATCTTTGGTGCACCTGGGCTTGCACTGCTGCTCTAAAGAAACAAGAAACCAACCCTGCCTTCTGTAAAGTTGAATTTTGCTGTGGCTTTTTATGTTGAAGTGGATTTTAGGATCAGATGTACAAACCAAGTTGATGCTGTAGATAGACAGCCAAAGAAATGAGATGCCCTAAAGCCCTGTAGGTGCCTAAGGCTCCCCTGGTCTAAATGGTTGCAGCTCCACTGCCCTCAGCACAGCAGTCACCCCCTCTGATGAGGTCACTCAAAGAGGTTTGGTACCTCTGGTGTTCCTCTGGAAGGCTTTCTAAGCAGCCACTAATATTTCTTTAAGTAAGTTTAAAAATGAAGATGAATCAGCCCAACTTCTCAGCTCCTGTGAGCTGGCACCGGCCCAGCACAGTTCTTGGGCTTCTTCCCCCTGTGTGTCATCACCCTTTTCGCCCAGGGGGTGGTTTTCTATCCCCTGGGAGTGCAAAGAGCTGAAATCATTGCTGTGTGATGACCTCTGGTGCCACCAGTATCTCCTGGCCCATGGATGGGCTGTGGATTCACAAGGACAAGGGTTTCTCAGGCTCCTGTTCAAGTCCTGCACGAGCTTTTACATCCACCTAAAACCCTGCTCCTGTCCTTGGCTGCCAAAAAAAATCCTTGAGGAAATATCCCTTCACCAAATCCTGCTTAAACCAAAGAGAGGTATTTTCACCATAATAATAATGATAATGCTTTATAGAATGCATTTTATTAACAAATAGTCAGTCACTGACCACCAAGGTCTCGTCTGGAGTATGAGAGGCACCCACAAATTTGTCCTCAGAAAAGTCTTTGTTTTCCCTCCTCTTCCCTCTGTAAATCCTGTTGGTACAGACCCATCCTACTTTAATCAGATGCAATTTGTTCCCCAGGTAGAATATGGAAAAGTGATCTTAAGAGGTTCGTGTCCTAAGGGGAGCAAAACATTCCCTGGGAGAGGTCTATGCCACCCACTAATCCTACCTGGAGCTTTGGGTGGTTGTGTTGGATCTGAACATTTAGATATTTAAAATTAATTACAATTTAACTGGAATAAAAGTCCTGTTCCCAATTTCACACCTCCATGGGGAGGACAGTAAGAATTTCTTATCTCATAAAAATATTATGAGTATAATGTGTTATTAAATGTCCAGATACTCTATTTAATGGAACTTTGCATTTGTATAAAAAGGGAGAAATTATGTTACTGGTATTTCTTTCTGTAGGAAGGGATTTTAGGATGAAGTAAAAATTAAACAACCAAGAAGTTAAATTATTCATATCAAAATAATTATTAACTTATTGAAATACTGTGCTATGGTAATAAATCACTGACAAATCTGGATATTTATGTGGCAGTGTTAGGATTAAGGTCTGAACAGTCCGGTAGTGATTTAATTGCTGAAGATTTTTCATCTTCAAAAATTTTGCGTTGAAAAAGTCGGAAAATTTGAAACCAAAATCCTCAATCCGATTTTTTAATGATTTTTTGGTAGCTGAAAAAGATGTGACTCCTTGAAACCAACAAACAAAACCTTTTCAAACAAAAACCTTTTCAAAATTGTTTTCATTTTAAGAAAAAACCCACATTGTTCATCTTGAGAAAACTCCTTTTTGAAGCAGAGAGAAGCTTTCTGAAAATAATACCAATTTAGAAGAAAATACTTTTTTTTCCCCAAGCCTTTATATTTATAGAAATAGAGCAATTTTTTTTCTTTTTATTAGAAAAAATGTCTTAACTTTTATGTGCTTCGATTTGTGTCAATTTTGTCTGTAGGGGGAAAAAAAAGAATCTTTAATCTTTCTGGTATTATGGAAAAAAAACCCCACTCAGGCACATGAAGGTTTTGTTTTCTGGACTCAAAAAATTTTTTCTACCTGTATCAGTTTTTTTCTAAAAGAAGTTACAGTAATTGATTATTTTAGGAAAAGAATAAAGAATTTATCCCTGGAAGTGTTCAAGGCCAGGTTGGACGGGGCTTGGAGCAACCCGGGCTAGTGGAAGGTGTCCCTGCCCATGGCAGGGGATGGAACTGGATGATCTTTAAGGTCCCTTCCAACCCAAACCATTCTGGGATTCTCTGATCCTAAGGATTAATAAAGGAATGAAGTACTGAAGAGAAGAAGAACTCAAGTATTGGTGGCAAAGGGCCTAAAATTAATAAACTGGGTTTCCATTGCCAGAAATGTGGGTGTAACCAACAGGAGCTTGTGAATGAATAATCCTTTTGAACCAGTATCAAAGACTTTGCTCACTTTTTTATTATATCATTAGAAATATAAACTATGACTGAGTTCATAATCTTTGTTGCTGCCACTTTGTCATTATTAAAAGTGATAGTTCTGGACAAATGGAAGGGTGAGAATAGGAGAACGTGGAGAAAATAGCAGCTACTTTGCTTTTCCAGTGATATGTGGCACTAAAACTGAAAGTTCTACTTTGTGCATCCAATTTAACAAACTAACAGTAAAATTGAATGACTAATGATGAAAAGAACAGCAAAAAAGTCCAAATGTGTGTCTTTAGTTGGCCCTGTAGTATTCAGCTGTGTATGGGCAGGTCCTTGACTGCTGGGACTGGTTAACACCAGGAGTAAGATGTTTTTTCTGAAGTTAGACTCTTTAACACATCCTTTTTTTTTTTTTTTCTTTTATCCTCAGGGAAATGTCACCACAATATCAGGAGAACGGTCTCAATGACCCAATTTATATATTTACTTTTTTTTTTAGCTTTTGTGCCACAGCTATGGTCCTGAAAAACATAATGGTCCTTGAAGGAGGGCACACAAACAGGTTTTCATCTGTTTATTTGTGCGTGAAACAAAATGTGCACGGGGGCTGAGAGCCTGTGTTGCATAGGACAGGTATGGCAGGATAATATTCATGGATAAAGGAGCATTTCTGGCAATGTCACGGGCTTAGGATGCTCAAATTAGCCTTGCAAAGACAAAGCCTGTGCTGTGCACACCTGCAGCTGTGGGTAAACGAGAGAAGAAGGAGCATTGTTAAGCTGTTAAAGCCTTGGATTTCTGTCTCACCTTCATTATTGGCTGATTTGCAGTACCTATAATTAATGTGCTTGCAGTGGGTGGCTCTCTTTACATTCACCTGCTTCTTTTCACAGCTTAATCAGGGCACAAGAAAAACTTCAAATTAGGATTCTCTGCAACGTGTTTTCCAAGTTTCCTGGTGCCGTGGAGAGAGCCCAAACAGCCCCCTGTTTGGAGGCATTGGAGATTTACAGATGTTTGATCCTGAAGCCTTCCAGATGAAAAGCTGGTTCTGTTTTTGGGCTGGTTTACAATTCTTAACTTTGCAGCACCTTGTAACAAGTAAAGAAAAGTGGAATATTCAGGAAAGTCCCAAACTGTGAAGCTCTGCTCAGCTCTGAGCTGTGAGGATCATCCCAGTAAGTTTTGTACCTATCAAACTGATTCACAGAATCATTAAGGTTGGAAAAGTCCTTCCAAGATCATTGGCTCCAACCTTTGACTGGCGGAACCTCTGTGGAAAGGTTGGCCCTGGGGAAGATCTGGGCAATACCTGAGAAATACAATAACCAGCAGCACTTGAGAGGTCACATAAAGGTATTTTCACCTTCTGCTGACCTTTTAGACACAGCTTGTGTGGCACGAGAGACAGACAGTACCATTGCTGGGCACTGGCACAGCTCTGGGTAGAGCAGATTCCCAATGGACCTCAGGAAATACCATAGAATCG